GTTCACTATACAGCACTTCTGCAGAGTGACCTATACAGAGCTATTAGAGCACCTAATTTCTTCACCAGTAGATTACAGAGAGAGCCAAGTCTTTGGGCCACATAGCCTATGGGGCCTTCCCCAGTGTGTCTTGTCTGGTACCAGAGGGAAGAACAGGATATTGTATATAAAATTGGAAGCACTCTGGTCTTGAAAATACTGTTTGTATAAAGTATTATACCCATGCTGATCCTGCTGATCCCCTCTTTCCAGTGTGTTCCGTTCTTTAAGAAAACAGCCACTATTCAATCCTGGCTTTCTTGCTCAGAGTTTTGTGTTGGGTTTTTTTCCTTGTTTTTTTCACCTTGCAGAGCTTTGTGTGCCTGAGCTGTGCAATGCTGCCCTCTGATGCTGTGCAAGAATTAAAAAGAAAATTTCCTAATAGCAGTTTTGCCACGTCATTCCCTGCTTTGGCTGCTGTTCTATTTTTCTATGCTTTCTGTATCTGATTGAAACTATGCCATGCAATGAGAAAGCTGTAGCCAGCCTGACATGGCTCAGGCAATCACAATGTTTCCTATGTCTGAACCTATCTCAGTGGTTTTGCAGTGACATACCAAGAGAATCTGTGACATTCAGAATGTTCCAGGGAGTTTCCTTAGTGTTTTACTCCTAAACAGTTTTGAAAACGATGTTAAAAATTGTTGGAATTATCTCAATAGATGCATTTAATTATCTTTTTAAAATACATGGATGATTGAATTGTATTTGCAATATTAATGTTGTTTCCAATGCTGTCTGGGAAGGAGTGTTCAGACTAGAGAGAATTTCTGCCAGGCACATGTAGCTGAAAGAATACAGCTGCTGTGCAAGACTGTGGTAGGTAGTGCTTGGATATATGTATATGTATCTGTTTAGAATTTTAATATCAAGACTTCTAATGATTTAACAGGAAATTGATGGGTGTCTTAGCAAACAATAGGTTCAAGAAAATTATCTGGATGTACTCTTTTTCTGTTATCTGTGTAAAGGTATGTTGGAGGACATCGGACAAGTAAGATCATGAGAATTGTGGATAAAATTACTAAGTCGAAGTACTTTCAGAAAGCAACAGAGACTGAGTTTATTAAGAAGAAAATCGAAGAGGTCTCCAATACTCCGTTGCTGCTAACAGTTGAAGTACAGGAGTGCAGAGGAACACTAGTAATTAACATTCCACCTCCACCTACCGACAGAATATGGTAAGAGGAACTTAACTGCAGAACTCTGCAATGTTTCGGGTGTGTGATTGCAACTAGGAATGAAAGATAAAGTGTAGCTTAAATGGGTTCTGGAAGAGATGGGATACAAAGCAGTTGTAAATGAGGTAGAAGTCGCTGTTAAGAGAAAATTGAGAGTTAATGCATTCAAGTATGTGCTTTGGAGTGTTTATAATAAAACCTGTTCTGTGTTCTCTCTTAAGGTATGGCTTTCGAAGACCTCCCTACCTGGAGTTAAAAGCTCGGCCAAAACTTGGTGAGAGAGAAGTGACTCTGGTTCATGTAACTGACTGGATAGAGAGGAAACTGGAACAAGAATTTCAGGTCAGTTCCCTTTACATTTTCCTTTCATTAATTATAGTTTTGGTCTATTAGAGGGGCTGGGATTTTACGTTTTGCATGTCCCCTATTTCGTTCAAAACTAGTTGGTATCCTCCACTGCTTCTGTTCAGTGGAAAGGATGTTAAGAACTGAAGTTAAGAAGTGAAACTGAATTCTGGCATATGAAACATAACTTCATTTAATTGCATCTTTTTCACAGAAAATCTTTGTCATGCCAAACATGGATGATGTTTATATCCCTTTAATGCACTCAGCCATGGATCCCCGCTCCTCTACGTGCCCTCCTAAAGATCTGAGCACGGAGGCCCCCGATCAACCATGACATGTGAAGACTCTTGTAGTTTACAGTATTATGAAAGTTATTCTCATGGTTTTATAAACTGTGCTGTAGTTCTCATCCTTAACTTGTGCCACTTCCCCCCCCCAAAGGACTGCCTATAACCATACCTTTGTGCTCACTTGCCTGGTTATTGTTCCTGTGTACTTCAGCTATGTGAAGTTTCATTCCATTAAGCAGGTATTTTTGTACTGGCTGCCATCAGGATTTTAACTCGGAGGCTGAGATGACCTGTTCTTTGGGGGAGGGAGGAGGAACCTAGCTGTAATAGATCAAGGAGCTTGTTGACACACCTTTTGTTCAGCTTATGTTTTCATGCTACGTTAATGTGCATTGAAGCATTGAAAGGTTGTTTGGCAGCAAAGGAACTGCATGCCAAATGGAAAAAATCCTAAATAAGGAATGAATTTGTAAAACTGGAAGAATATTTTTATTTCTCAGGCAGTTGGAGGTGTAGAATGAACTGTTTTATGTTCTTTCACTTCTGCAGTCAATAGCTTGTGTCAAGCAATCGAAATATGAAATGCTTTCAGGATAAAAGAATGTAAATCGGATGTATGATGTATTGTGATTCAGTGTGGTATATACATACAACTTTTTTCATACAGAACTCATGCTTTTTTGGGGGGAAGCAAGTAGCCATAAAACACACATCAGTGAAGGTGGGACTCACATTTTTGTAAATGAGGAGATAAAAGTTGGTAAAGCCATGAGACCAAACCATAGCAAGCCGCCTTACAGTGAGTTACAATCACCTTGGTTCATGATTAATTCTGAATGTTTATAAAGACATGAGCACACACATAAAATGTCAATACTGCACATTACCAGAAGTACTTAGTTACCCTACTGTGTATAGAGCCTCTTGCTATGATGAAACACAGGTTTTTTTTCTTCTAGGAGTTCGTTGCTGTCTTTTCCATTGCACTGTGTTTACATGCAAAGCAGGGGGCCAAATTCTCAGGTTACAGCCGTGCAACTCCAGACATCAAATCACTTGATGTTTGTGGAACAGCCGTGACTGGAAGATTTTGCCTCCCATGCATAATGGTTTTTTGGACTTTGTGGAATAGGAATTCAGGCATTGCAATTATTCAAGCTGATTGTGATTAGAGACTGTTTCTGCTCATTAATGGCCAAAACAAAGGGGGGAGGGGGAAAATGCCTTTTATTTCTCGCTGGTATAATGATTCAAGATGAAATGTATGCAGTAAATTCAGTATTTGAACACTACATATCCACTCTTTTAACACGTGATATTTTTCTGATAGTGTTGCCAACTGTTCATGGATGTCAGAAAACATTTTCAGTTTACAAAGGTGAGTTTTGGCTCTCCTTTTATAACATTTTTTTTTTTTAAGGAGTAATTTTTTAAGAACTTTTTTGTATGTTGTGTTGTCACATTTGATGTAAATCGAGATTTCCATGTGTAACTTGATGATTTACCATCTCTAAATGAAGCTATTATATTGAAGGTTTTTTAAACAGCACCTTGCCTGAAACATAAAAAAACCCTAGCATTTAATATATTTAAAATTCTATATTTGAACACCTATTTTTGGTTACCTTTAATTGAAATATTAGTGGGTTATATTTGTTACCTGAACACCTCCTTGACCATTCCAGGCTGTGTATATTCTGGGGTTTGCTCTGATCATATAGGCATTATTTGCCTCTAATGAAGTCTGCATGTCTTGTACGCAGTCTTTTATATGATTTAATTTCTATGTGCAATAACTAAAGTCAAAGGACTAGATGCACTAATGTGTAAACAAATTTAGACTTATTACACAAGATTGTCATATTGCACTTCATAAACTGTGGGTAACTACAATCTGCTTGCTTTGTTTTATTAAATAAATTTATCCCATGTCAAACAATTACTCAGTTAAATTTCATTCCTACATTGTGCTTAGTCACTGTCCCCTGCACGTTGTTTCAAAAACCTCATTAAAGGCAGGTTGCCAAGATGCCTGCTAGGTGCTTTTCAGGTACTTTTATGTATACCCAGAGCTGTCTGTATGTGGTGGTTATAATTTTAGGGTTAACCAATGCTGACTTTTCTGGCTCTAAAAGGAAAAGCTTAAATTGAATTTTAATGTAGTGAAAACTGAATTGCCCTGCAGCAGTTAGCGTTCACATCAGGAACATGCTTTAAAAACGTTTCTCTGTGAACCTTGAAATGGAGAACCAGGAATTACAAAACTTGAGGCGGCACACATTACCCTCTGAACACACAGTTTTAGTCTTCCTAGACTCAACTATTACTCTTTTGCATGTTGCAACTTTTCCATCTAAAGCAAGCACTATCCGTAACTTCCAGCCTCTGTGTGTGCACAACAGTGCAAGCACAGCTGTTAAGCTGGAAGCACTTTAAATAGCTGCAGCTTAGAACCCTGGAGTCAACTTCCCATTTTGTCTCCAGTTCCTTGCTGTACACATGAAGGACCCCTCTGGATGCTCAACTGCTAGCTCACCTTCACCCACGTGCTGCTAGACAGGAATGCCAGGACTGCTGCTGCTTTTTCAAAGTCCCCTTTACAAACAGATCTCTGACCTACTTTAGGAAAATGCTGGTGCACGTGGTCTAAGTGGGTAAAACTCTTGAGTCAATCACCGATAGATGATGGGTAACCCGGCCCCTTTTCACCCAGCTACCGCTCTTTCCAGGTCAAACACGGTCCCCCCGCGCCGTGCACCGCCTCCCGTCGGGCTGCGGCGCCATTTTGTGCGGTGCTGCCCGGCTCCCTTGAAAGGGGACGAGCTGTCACTTGCTTTTAAAAGCGCCACCCGGGTCGGGCCGAGCAGCTCCAGTTATGAACAAGCGCTTCACTCTAGCACTACAGCTTGGCCGACGGCGCCGCGGACAGGGCACCCCGCCGGGTCAAAGGCAGTGCGGGGGAACGAGGGGACACGGGCTCAAGAACCAGCCGGACACGTTTTCGCGGTGCACTCAACTTTATTTGTTTACCGGCCCGTTCGCCGCCGCTCGCCACACGGGCCCTACAAGACACAGAAGGAAAAGGGAGAGGTTACACAAGCGGATCACCGCAGCCCGCGGCCGGCTGAGCAGCAGCCTGGGCGCTCAGTAATAGGTTTGCTTCATGCACATCAGCAGTCTAACACGTGTCAAGAGACATCATCGCGGCCCGGCCCAGCCCGCCCGCCCTGCACCCACAGCCCGCCATGCTGCTCTCACCTCACACCACCGACACACGCAGAAAGAACGAAAACGCCTAGCGCCCCGCTTTATATAGCGACCGCCCCGCCCTTCCGGGCCTCGGCCAATCGCGTTCAACCCCGGGGGCACGCGCCGATCCGCGTGTGGCTGCACGAGAGGGTGGGTGGAGCTGCGGCTCCTCAGCGGTGAGGCGGGAAGCGCTGAGGCGGCGCTGGGAGGAGGAGGTAAGGCTCTGGGAGAGCCTGGCTCTGCCCCGGCGCGGCGGGCAGCTTTCCCGGTCCTCTCAAGAGCAGTGTGCTCGTTTAGTTAGTGGTGTGTTCTGGTATTCCAATGCTGTTAAAGTGGTAGTTCTTAATGGTAGAAAAGTATAACCTTTGGGCCCCGCTCGGACCTCAGAGGAGGTTCCTCGGTTTCTGAGGAGAGGTGCCCGAGAAGCGGGAGGGTGCGCGGTGGTCTCCTACGGCCTCAGCTCTGGTTTTTGCCTTTTTGTATTTCCTGTGAGGCCGCTGGGAGGGATTTGTGTTAAATGACTGTAGTTTGTTAGTATACACGTGGTGCTCGTGTAGCACGGCATGGAACTCAGGTAAAGATAATAAACGGTACCTTAACGCTCGCCCGCCGGTTTTCATGCTGGGAACGTGCCCTCCCGGGCTGTGGCTAAAGTGCTGCCGCCCTGCGGCACCTGTACCGCCGGGAGCTGAGCTGCGGCAGCTGGGCAAAACCAGTAGTCTCCTGTGTGCCTTTCGTGTGTGCTTTTTACACGGGCACAGCTGCCCGCGTTGGTTGCCGTTGTGTGTGGTTACGAGCACTTTAGATAGATTAGGTGGATCGAGATTAGATACAAGGAAGCTCTTCCCTGTGAGGGTGCTGAGGCGCTGGCACAGGGTGCCCAGAGAAATTATAGCTGCCCCATCCCTGGCAGTGTTCAAGGCCAGGTTGGACACAGGGGCTTGGAGCAAGCTGCTCTAGTGGAAGGTGTCCCTGCCCGTGGCAGGGGTTGGAACTAAATGATTTTTAAGGTCCCTTCAACCCAAACCACTATGTGATTCTGTGACTTCCTCTGTGTGTGGTAGAGGCCTAGATGTGTTCCTTGTGTGTGCTGTTGCCCTGGCACGCACAAAGCAGCATGTGATATGGTCTGCTTGTTCTCAAATAGTGCGAATGCTTAATATCGAAGACCTCCATAAGTAAACCTATCTGTCAATATTGGAGAACTGCAATCACAGTGCGGTTTGTAGCTCCAGCATAGAATCATAGAATGGTTTCAACCTGGCCTAGAACACTTCCAGGGATGGGTCAGCCACAGCTTCATGGTTTTATATATTAAAACTTGCAGGTTAGATCATAATTATGTGTCCTGCCCATATCATCAAAGGCACACTCATTAGAAGAGAGAGCTGCCAGAGCTGATTTGCTATGTGCATATTGTACACTTAGTACTTGGTGTGCTCTGCAGCTCCATTAGCGATATCAGTATTAAAAAGCAAACAATATGTAACAAGGACAAAGCGGCTTTGTTATATAAATACACATCTGAAAGCTAGACCTTTGCCAAGCAGTGTAAATTTACTTTCTGCTTCTTAAAGCCACTTCAGTTTGATCCAATATATTTTTTTATGCGTGTGTTTAATCTGTTCAGAGCTGCTTAGACCCGGGTTTTGGTTCAAAAAAAGCATGTTTTTGTGGTTTGGTTTTTTTTGCATTTATTTAAGATACTGCAAGGCACAGCCGGGTCAGAACAGGAGCTGTGCCAAGTAAACTTGTCATGATCTGCTTTGAAAGTGAAAAATCAATCAGGAAACTGAGCGGGGTGGGGTGGTGCTGGAGGAATGAGGCTATGCCGAACCCCTGGATTTACCAATAGTGTACTGTCTTTGCCCAGCTCAGTGCACCCCGCGGTTTAGGGGTGGCTCTCGGCCGAAACCCCCCCGCCCCCCGGGCACGCTGCCGTTTTTCCGGGGCTCCGCACAAACGGGGCTGCTCCGGCCGCAGCACGAAGCCGCGGGCGCTTCGCCGGCCGTTCCTGCACGACCCTCCTGGCGCCGCGGGGAGCGCGAAGGCGGCCGTAGGAGGGAGGTGCCCGGGGGGGGCCGGGCGGTACCTGAGTTCGCTGGGGGCCGCCCGCGGCTGACGTCGCTGGCCCAGTCCGGGACGGCCCCGCCCCGCCGCGCGGGGAGCGCCGGACACGCTGTGCCCGGCAGCCAGCGCCTGGCCGGTGGGAGCCGGCCGGGGCCCCGCGGGTGGCAGCCATGGAGCCGCGACGCTGCTGCCGCCTTGTCCTCCTCAGCCTCGGTGCGCTGTTGGTGCTGCTCGCTCCGAGACCCGGGGTAAGTGAGGTGCGGCCCGGTCTGAGCCTCCCCCCTGGGCCTGGGCATGGGGGGCTGCCCCCGCGGCGGGGAGGGCAGCGGCAGCCGTGGTGCCCCCTGCCCGGCCGCGGCGGGGAAGGGCGGGCACGGCTCGCCAGGGGTCGGTGGAGGGCCGAGGAGGCCTTGCCCTGTGCAGGCCAGGGCCTCTGCTCGCAGAAAGGGGAGCCGGGGCTGGGGTGGCACGCACGCCCCGGCGGGCTCCTACCGGGGCTTTGCCGAAAGTTTGCCGTAGGTGTCTGTAGCTCGGGGCATCGGCGGTGTTTGCGAAGGCAGCACACTGGCCGTTTGGCTATCGTTAATGCCGTGTGCCTGTCGGTGTGCGCAGGGGTGAGGGGCTGCGGTGTACCAGCTTTATCAACAGCTGTGTGCCTGCCCACGTAGCACCATACCTAAGCATGTAACATATATAATAATCCTTGAAATATAAAAATACAGTTAATTTCCCATAAGGTAATTGGTGAAAATAGGACAAAGAAACTTTTGGAAGCTGAAACTGTAGGTGGATAGGTGAACTAGTATGACATGCAAGAAGATCTTTGCTCTGTCCCTTCAGAGGTGAGGGGGCTTGAGTTTTTTGGTTTGGGGATTTTTTTTTGAACAAACAAGCACCCCCAAATGTTGTATATATGTTGACATCCAAATACAGATGACTAAGTAAATGCCCTCTATGCTGTCTTACGGCATTTTGATTTCCAGAGTAAAGATAGCCATGTGCACTAAGTGTACATACAGTTGGTTGGTATCCAAAAGAGACTACAGTTCTAAATTCAAAGGTGAGAGACAAAGTGCACAAGTCGCTGCCCTACAAAACCTCTTAAAAAATAACCAGGCAGGTTATAAGGCATTACGTGGAGCAATAAAAGCACAGGGAACAGTGAAACTGGTGCAAAGCAGATGGAATGCTGAGCAGATTATTTTTATGGAGGTAATAATTTTAAACAGTGTACTTTAAAATGGGTGCTCTCAGCTGTGTGTGTACTTACATGGAAAACCAAATCTTCGAAAATTCAGTTCTGAAAGGTGCTCTTCTTTTTAAGCTCTCAGAATCAGAGGACAATGAAAAGGGCAGCTGGCATTTACTGTTTCCATTATACTGAACTGTAGCAGGGGAAAGTTTTAGGTTATGTGCTTAAATGGATTGTTCATTGTTACCTGAAAATGCTGGTGTGATAAATGGGGTTATAGTTAAGTTTAAGCAGAGCTGAAGGCTTTGTTTTTCACCTGGGTTATAATGGCTCCACTCCCCTTCTTTAAAAGTAAACACATTTAATAATGAAGCTGTGCAATAATACTTAGTGGTGTTACTTCGTTAGGAAACTGGAAAAAATTAAATGCAGGCTGCTAACAAAAATTACTTTAAAAATCTTTATTGTTAAAGTGCTGACGTCTTTGTCTTAGTCTGGACTATAAGGTTGGACTGAGATCTCCTCAGGGTCCTGACAGGTTTGAGGTTCAGATTTTGCAAGTAAAATGGTGGTTTGCAAGTTCCCAAGTTTTTAAAACAGTTCTCAATGAGAATACTAAATATACTAAAAGCACTTTTCAAATCAACAGGTTATTACTAAATTGTGTGTAATTTTACCTTTGTAGTTGCAAAGAGCTGGACTTGAGCCCTGGTGGGATTAACCCCCCCCCCCTTTTTTTTTGTCCTCTGAATTTTTCCTTCCCCTTGGTCTCTCTGTGCTGCCATCATACCTCGGATTAGCACCTGATCACAGGTTCTCCATTTCTTTCTTTTCTTAGTCCCAGTCATTTTACCTGTGATTAATACATTTAACTGGGAAGGCTCATTTAGAACTATTAATGTCACTTGAGTAATAAATTTCCCAGGAAGGAGACTGGCAAATGAGTCTTGGTACTGAGATAATGTGAAAAACATGAGATTGCCTGAAGATTTTGCAGGTTGTTTTTTCTGGAGCTTTAAGACTATTGGCGGTGTACTCCTATTTTTTTGCTAGATGTACTCTTGTTACTTTATATCCCAACTTTAATATTTTTTTACTACAATTTATATGTTCATACAAGGACTTCCTTTCCTGTCTTTTCTTTACAAGATGAAATGGTAGCTCTTGTTATTTAAGTGATACAATGTATAGCTCTTGGAATTGCCTTAGCAAGGTATTGGAACACATTATGAAATGTTCCCATAAAAAAAGAACACATCTCGGCTACAGCAATGCAAAATGTGGTAGAGCTGTCAGTACAGTGTCAGTGGTCACTGTAAATGTTATATAATGATGTCGTTTGAAATGTATATACAATATATAGTTTTTAAAAAAAAACCCAACACCTTGGTTTTATGAGCCATAGACATTTCAAACTATGCCTGTTTCTCTTATAACATGAAGCTGGTGAAAATCTAACCCAACAACCTCTCTGGGGTTCAGCTGATGTTTAGAGCATTGGTCTGTCCCCCTGCAGCCTGTGGGGCTGGTTTCAGTGCTGTGGTTGTGTGCAGGCAGCACATGTGGGAAACCCCCCAGCCTTTCCAGGTGTCTTTACTTTGCAATGTGTTCTTTATCTCAGCATGAGGTGTTTGGCCAATTAATTAGCTGATAGGCATGAAAACCTGTGAGACAGGAGAAGGGTTTAAAAAGGACAC